GTACTTCAGAGAAACAGTAATGGAAACTGTAACTGCATGGGACACCTGAGTTGTTGCTAAGAATTATGCACTGCCTGAGTGCCATATGAGCTTTAAAATAAGGCTTTTATTTGATGAATTGATATCATCCTATTGAACAGCACTTAAGCTTTTTTTTTAGCAACAAGTAATTTCTCTAAACAAAGTTTTATTGTTCTCTTAATTTGTAGGACAAAAGAAAACTGCAAGAAGAAATTACACAGAAACGTCTAAAAGTGGAAGAGGAAAAAATGAAACACCAACACTTAAAGGTAAGTAAAGTGTGGGATTTATGTAACTAAAGGTAGTCTCAAGTTGTCCAGCATGAATAAACGTTTTGGATTTTGGAATGCAAATCTTCATGCATTTAAGTTGTGCTTTTACTGTCAAATTTTTGCAGCTTTTTGGAGTTTTGCCAGGACTCCATTTGACTTTAATAAGCATCACTCTTTGAAAAAAATTACACTCAGGAGCTAATGTTATTTGATCACTTTCATGTCATAAAATGAGATCATAACCAGGAATAACTCACAGCTGAAAATTAAGCCTCATATTTCAGACTGGGTGTGTTCACCCCTTAATTCCACTACAGCAACCTTACTTGCTACAGGGTACAGCACAATCATGAGGTCTAATTGCTCTGTTTTCTAGAAAAAAAACCCAGCCTATTTTTATTTGGCTATAGCATTTTGACAGCTTGTTTAATGACTGTTTTGCAAAATAATGCTGTTTCTTTGTATATTTAAACAAAAAAAAAAAACAAAATAAACAAAAAAACACAACACATAAATGCTGCAAATATTATCCTGAAATATGGCCTGTCAAACTCAGGATTATAAAGTCCAAATTACTAAGAAACCAAAAGATTCACCTCTGTAGACACTTGAAATTGCAGCAATTTCTACCCAACACCACCATTCTTTAAATGTCTATTGCAATTTGGCAACACATGTCATTTAGGCAGATGAGGCAAAATCTAAGCTTCTAAAAATATGCAAGACTTGGTATTTTACATGCCCTTTTAATTATGTAAGTGGATAAACAGTTTCAAGAAAGATATGTTTAATGCAATACCAGAAGTGTGGTGTGTCTCCGTGAGCAAATGTGGGAGAAACATATTTAAAACAGACTCTTCTTCAAAATAGACACCTGATCCTGGGTTTCATCTACCCTTTTTTGTGTCAAGCCAAAAAATTGAGAAATTATAATAAACTAGTTCACTGGGCTAGGCATGCCAATGCAAAGTCACCCATGCATAGGTTTTATCAGAAGATAGTGACCACAGACAGGCTTGACCGATTGTGCAGTGTCTTGCCTAAAAGAGAAGGGAATCTCTTTTCCAAGTCCCGTAACTAACAAGCAGCAAACATGTGACCATCTTCCTCCATCTTAATACATGGTTACATGGAGTACTGCAATTTATGTTTCAAGTTTCCCTGCCTATAAATTCAGAATTACTCTTTCGCCCTTCTTTTAGGAAGGATAAACTGATCTGTTCTAGACAAGCTAATCCTCACTACTGCTATGTGCAGAGTGTCCTAGGGCAGTTTCCTTCGAGATTTAATGCATGTCTTCAGCTAACATTAATAGGTACAACAGAGTTAAAAAGAAAACAAAAAGCCACCTTGCACTTACTCTGAAGATCTTTTATGGAATTTTACAGAGGATAAAACACTCCTGGAAAAGTGTTACTGAAATGTTCTTCCTTTTAAAGAGGACAGAGGATGTGATATTTTTGCCTGTTCTGTGAAAAATCATACAGAGATCAGACAGAAAAGTTTTTAAATTAAAATCAGTCCTATTGCATATGAAGTGAATCAAGGATCTGTAGAGGAAATTATTCACTTGGTAAAGAGGAATCAAGCGTATATTGGGGTTTGGAGCACCCACAATGGAGACTACTTTTTCCAACCAAGTACTAAGACAGGCACCTAATACCAGGTGCAGCATTGCTATATGAACATCCTCTGCTTGATGCCCTAGACGCCTTGTCCTTTAACAAACATTAAAGCTTCAGACCAATTCAGGTATTTCATGGAGTCAAACAACACAAAAACTTAGTGCAGAAATAACTTTAAAACAGATTTAGACTTCTAAAACGTTTAGGCACTTCAGTAAGTTTTATTGAGGGCTCATTTCCCTAGCAAGTCAGGCTGATTTCGCACATTTATACTCCTACCAGTTGTGCAAGGTGAAATCTAGAGCTCCATGACCTATTCAGCATAACTTGCACCTGTCCATCAGGAAACTATTGCAGATTAGTAAATCTCACTGTCATAAATGTTCCTGTTAGCTGGATATCACTATCCTGTTCTTCATTTTGTCCTTCACTCCTATTTATAACCCTCAGCAACAGGTTTATTAAAAGGTTGGGTTTTTTTGTGGGGTTTTTTAGGGTTTTTTTTCCTTTTTGTTTTTAATTTCCTTTTTGTAAATAGGAATCACTGCTCCAGATTCCCAATGACTTTGCTGTCCCCAAACTAACGTCTTATTAGAAAGAGACAGATGAGGCATCATAACAGGTCTTAGTTATGATAAGTTCCAGTAGAACTATACTAGAGAATGAATAATTATTCCCTACATGTGCACTTCTATCTCATGAAGTAGCAGACATGCAAGCAAATACAGACACCTGTGTGGATAGGCCTTCATGGAACTCCATGGGCTAACGGGGGCTGTTAGTGAGGGTACAAGGGAAATTTCACCCTCAAGTAATTCCAGACACACCAGCAACTAACTCTTCCTCCTACCTAAAATCCTTCTCAGCAAGGCAAAAAGAGAAACAACCAGAGAGAGTTGCTTGGAAAGCACAGTCAGCACTGATTTGCATGTACTTTCCTAGAGCTTTTCTAGTTCAGCTTATTAAGTTTTTGGCATCTGACACGCCTGAACTCCATTAGCACTACCTTATAGGTGCTGGTCACACACCTCCTTGTTCTAGGAGTTAATAGTGTTGAACTACATCTTCTGTGAAAATTGCAAAATTAATTAATGCCTCCTCCAACATGCCATAAGGTGAACTGCCATACCACTGGGAGAGCAAGACTCACAAACTCAAAACACATGTGCCTTCCATCAAAGGATGACTTTTCAGTGTTAGTCTAGCCTTGTTGAGGATTATAGTAGAGTTATACTTGGAGCATGCATAGGACACTATTCACAGAATTTGCAGAATACTGTCACAGCACTCTTGATGTGACCACGAACTACAAGAAAAAATGATTGCTTTCCAGCGCTCTGGCCATTCCCAGGGTCTTATTGCATCACAATGTATAAGTATCCCTTTCCCTTAATGTACCAAGCTTAATGCAAAACAAAAGTGCTTTCATATAAGTGCTATAACACATGCACAACCTAGTACTGAGCTTTACAGTAGAAGGAAATGCTAGACAGCAGAAAGAACCCAACAGTCCCAAAGCAGCTGATCCTGCACTGGCTTGTGCTGATGCCTCAGTGGAGCAGCCTTGAAACCGTCTGTTGTTCAAAGGCTGCTTCTAAACTATGCAGTGTGTCATTCTTTCAAAAGTGGCTAATTAAATTAAAAAGATTACATGGCATTTAGTTGGAAGCAGCAGCAAACTATTGTAGGAAAAGGCAAAAATAACACTATTGTGTTAGCCTATATTTAAGGAGTTTTGTTTTCTTGGGCCTAACCTTCTATGTACAAGAAGCTTTTGTTGATTTCTGTGGGTGTTATTGGTTTCTGAGATCTGCAGTGCCAGCCCCACTGTAATTCTCACAAGAAATTATAGATTCATTTTTTGAGACAGCAATGCTAAATTAATTCAGTTCCAGTCAGGATTAAAATCTCACTTTTTTTAGGAGTCCTACTTATCATTAAAATCTAAATAGCTGGATTGAAAGGGAATTAATAACTGTGATCCCTCCAACCTGAGAAAACATTGTTTTGTTGTGCCAACACCAGACTACCTGTATCTACTGGATCAGGTAAAACCATTTATTAAAACCTGCATTTATTTCATTTGAACCCAAGACACAAACGCCAGGAAGTGCTGCCAAGTGACCCTACAGCCAGAGTTAAGGCTCAGGACATCAGTCTTGGACAGCCCTTGTTTCCCACAGAATTCCTAGGATCCAATGTTCAGAGAGATAATATTGTCCCACAGGGCTAAGGCAACTGTGAGCAAGCCTGTTTTAGCCATGGTTTCTATCACATCAAGTATGCCACACATCATCAAGTTGAAAATTGCATTTAACTGCAATCATGTCCTACATGCATCTTCCTCCATCAGCTGGGCATCAGTAATAACCTCATGTAAACAGAAAAGTGTAGGAAGCAACAGTTTAAGTGACTCAACACACAGGATGCAGGCAGGGATTCCAAGAGCCGCTGCAAGCACCACTGAAGTTATTGCAGCTTTCTCACCAGTGCTGGGCGCAGCTCTGCCTCAAAGCAGCAGTAGTCAAAATCCAATTTAATCTTCATCTATGTCCTACAATTAACAAAACTATATAAGGAGAAAAAGCCCTAAAAAACCTAACATGAAAATCAGACAGCTCAAGGAATCTAAATTACAAATGGAAAATTCATGGTTAATTAAAAACCTTATAGGCATGGGGTTTTTTTTTTTCTCCCCTGCTGAAAGAGTTTTTCTAAGGAGCCCTGGCTCCCACTTCTTCCCCAAGGCCACAACTGTACTTATATTCCCGAGTTAGACTGAAGAGAGTAAAAAGAGTGCAAGAAGCGGCACATGGTTTACAACTTCTAGCCTGCAAATATGAACTCATTTCCATTAGTTTTTTGGGTTTTTTTTTTTACACCAGGAATATTTTAGAGAGCTCTGATGACTTTCAGATGCCACCTTTCATATTGTAAAGCAACTGTAGAAAGTGATTAGTGCATACAGCCATATTTTTCAAAATTTTAAAAACACAGCCAAGAGATCCACTCAACTTAGGTATGCAATACACCCATTTATAAGCCACTACTTTACAGAAAAAACCCCACAGGCACTAAACAGGTAAGCCCTGGATTGCTCCTACAGCAGCAATTCTAGATATTTAACAGGTCTGCTGAAACACTAACCAGACATCAGCAACCCATGCTCTACCTTTCCAGTTCCATTCTTAGCCCACACATCCTATCAGATGAAAATGTGAGTTCACTACCATAATTACCCAAGTTCTTTGTAAACTCCAGAGACAGCATGGCATCACTAACTCCCTAGAGATCTCTTCCCCCTACACAACCTTACTTACAGAAACTTTTCACCTTTTATACCCCCTCCCAGAATTTATGCAATGCTATGACCCACTGTAGCTCTTCTGACTGGGGCCTTTTGCAGGAGTCTGTAATACATATGCTTTGATACAACTGTTTTGCTTTATTGAGGACAAACACACCACAGGATCTACTTAAAAATATTAATCTGTTACAGGACATCCTCTATGTGTTTGTTGGGTGAAATAATAAAACAGGACATTTTTCTTAATGAGTTTCTTTTTAAGTCAATCTCAAAACACAAAATGTTTTTAGCATTTCTCTTTCAGTGGCACTCACTGCTGTCAGATTGCCTCATGCTAGGTACAGCACAAATGTGGGTCACACCCACCTATGGCATCAAAACATATACAGTAAATGACTGAATAGCCTAAATTAGGAAGTATGCTTACTTGTTTGTATTTTTCCCCAACAGAAAAAGGCCTTAAGAGAAAAATGGCTCTTGGATGGCCTTAGTTCTCTCACTCCAAAAGAACAAGAAGAAATGCAAAAGCAGAATCAGGAGGACCAACAACGGACTCGTGAGCTGGAACAAGACATTTTCAGGTAGCATGGTACCCTTGCCCTCTGTCTGCCTTAAAATGGTCCCTTTTTAAAAGTCTGACCTTATTTTCTAAAAGATTAAAATATCAGCAAGGGCTAAACATATGCAGTTTGATACACAGAATAAAGCAATCTTAGTTATATTTTCTGGTCAGCTAGAATTAGAGAGTACACAATGCAAGCCTCCATACTGTGAATTGTATCAAACTGTACAATAAACAACTTGCAGAGTATTTTTTTTCTCTAATTCCAGGCATCCCTTTCATACTATACTCAATAAATGGAAGCCACAATATATGGGTTGTGCTCTAAGATCGCAATTGTTGAATCAGAATTTCAGAAAAAACAGTAAATAGTTTTAAAAGTTCTTCAGTTTCACTAGGTCTTGCACAGCCTTTGGTACCTGACTTCTACCATAACACAGCGCTTCAGAGCAGTACAAGCTGCCTAGCCCCATCAGCATCACTTGCCTTATTTTCACTTATCTTCCATGCTGCTTTGTCTCAATTTATTCCCAGAAGCCTGTTGTAGCAAAGGCCTTTTTCTACAGTTTATTAGAGCTTTCCTATAAATCTCATTGCTTAAGTGCTTCCCTACCATATAGAGCTAACCTCAAACTCCATAGAGTCTCACATACAACTCCTTTATTTACTATGGACATTATTCTAGAGGTGCTTATTAGTGCCTTTCTCAAATACCACAGGGCTCTGTACACCATCAGCTCCTTCCCTGCGTCCAGGCATACTGACTGGTACTACCCATTGGCACCCACAGAAAAGATGAAGTGTTCTTGTTTCTTTGGATTCTGGAAAGTTTCTTCATCCTTTTTTGAAGCTTCTCCATCTATTTCAGTTCAATAGCATCTTCCTCCATACTCTCCTCTTCCTCCCCTGTCCTCCTACACACACTCTTTTGGCGAAGTTGTCACCAAGACTACCTCCTCCGGTTATCTCCCACCCACTTCCCTCCTTACTCCATCTCTCTGACACAAACGATAATTCTCTCGGCTGACAGGCAGCAGCCTAGTGCTAGTTTGTCCTATAATTATGCTGACTTCTTGCTTGAAAGCACTTTTCTCAACAGAACAGCTTTTCATGCACCTCTGTGGAATTCTTTGTTACAGTGGTAGGAGGTAGACAGTGTGCTCTAAAAACATCACAGCAGGTTGTGATTATAAAGACATGAAAGAGGGGTCCCTACAACACTGATCACCAGGAAAGAGCTGTGTGGGCTCAGGGACAACAGGGAAGTTGCACTGAGGAAGTAGCTCCCCACCAGCCCACTGGAAGTTCAGCCCTTCTCCAAGCACTGGGAAAAGAGACTAGACTGTCAAAGTCCTGTTGAATTTGAGTAAGAGCTGGAGGTTTAGCTGAGATCAGCTTTATGCCCTAAGAAATCTGGTGATGAGAGATCTTTAAAACTGTTTTTTGTTTTGTTTTTTTTTTAGTCTCTCCTGGGACTAGCCCTGGGAAGACTTGGAATGATTTCAACAAATAAGGCTGATTATTCAGATATAAAATGTCAATTCCATGTCTCTTGGAATCCTGAGTTTGTAACTACAGTTGTAGAGTCTTTTGATACCGATTTTGTAATTATTGTCCCAAACTTGTCGTCAGCTCAGTGGCCTTAATTTTTATTTTCTCAGACACCAAAACTGAACACACATGGTAAGCTTTACTTTTCTGAATATAGCCATATAAACTTTTTTTTTAAGCGTAACTAGAATTTATCACCATTACAAATAGTAAACCACTAATTCAACTGGAGCTTCAAACCTGAAAAACTTATATTTAATTCATGTAGGTAAATTAACATCACAAAGGAATATTCCCTCTGCTTTAATTCTAGATTGGATCCAGAAGTTTACAAGGGGCTATAAGTTTTAAAGTTTATCTGAATTAGAAGCTTCCAGGTCTTTTAAAAGATGCCGATAGGCTTTTAAAGGAAGATTTCTAAATGCATTTGTGCTTTAAGGAAGGAGAAATGAAAGTGCCAAACCCATCATTTTGATTGCTGTCTTAAATCTCAACATGGATCCCGGAGTAATATCTCAGCCTGTCTCTTTTCTGATAATTACAAGGACTAGATGCAGATACACTGTGAATGGGAAGCCTGCACACTTGGTACTGCATCGTATGATGAAGGGCACACACATTACAACAAACAAGACAAAGGTTCCTCAGCTCATACACTTTATATATGCTTGAACCTGTAGCAGCCAAACTATAGAAATGGGTTTGTTACCTTCCCACTGGAATTTTTGCCAGAGACTTGGTTAAAATTCAGCATATATAAAAAAAAAGAAATTCCATTTTAGAATTCCTTTCCCATGTAGGTGGGATGCAGGATGCAGGGATAACAGGTTTGCTTTGCTGTGTTGGTTTTGGTTGTTATTTTGGG